GGAAGTTAGGAAGGTAGGATACAGAAAGGAATTTAATATATATCTGTAAGCAACGATAAAACATTGCTAACGAAAAATGATTCTGATCGGAGTTCACATAATAGTGATGCTTTTTCAACAATATATATATATATATCATATTATTGTAAAATAATTATATATGCATTATACATTTTTTTTCATAATATTTATTTAAAATTGTACCGATTTTCTCATTTTTCCTAAGTTTTTCCTGATTTTACTCCATTTTCCCTCCGTTTTTCATATTTTTTGGGAAAACTCATGGAAAAATCGAAAAATGGCATTCTTAAAGTACCACCTCAAGAAAATTTACTTTCAGAAAGGAGTGTATATTGTATACATCTGAGTAAGCTTTCTAGAAAAAAAAGTAATGGTGAAAGTAAACAAATAAACAACTTTGTTAAGGTGCTCACTCACTGCAACAGTGGCGGTAGTGGTTTACTATATATTTATTTATATTATTTATTTACCTATACCTATAATGATAAAATTATAAAATACTAGCTGAATACTAACTTCGCCTGTGTGCAGATTTTTGTGTTACTTAATAAATGGAAAAAACTGGTAGTTATTTATATTATTTTGGTACATTTCTGAAGCATCCAGACAACAAGGAGGGGAAATACGACTAATAATACTCGACTCAGAATGCGTAGATACAGATACTAAAATTAAATTACTCTACATATCATCCCTTATTCCCTTACAGCTTTCTTCCTAAACCAGTGGCACACGCATCAACAGTGTCAGACTGTCGGCATTTTTTTTAAACAGTCAACGGAATAATAATATTGTGATATTTTGTTTTAGTAAAATGGACAATTTTCTACATTGTATTTTATTGTTACGGCCGGCCTATACGTAGAGCCAAACGTTTCGAATGACGCCAAAAATATTTTCGAGACACAGCACACCGCGGCTTGCACTGCACAAATGACAAACGAGACTGTTCACGTTTTTTTTTCACTTCTACTAACGGTCGCATTTCGACGACGTACCGACGACTGACATCTCCGGAATACGCGGCGGAAAGTCAGCGAAACGTTTATCGTCCATTTTTCGTATAAAATATAATAATAGTATACCTGTACCTACTATATGAATGTCAGTGTTGTGTAGTAGTCCTAAAGAACACGGCGAAAAAACGAAACGAGATTTCTGGCGACGGCGATAATACATCACTGTGGTAACGGACAAACGGTGCAAATCCCTATACCTAGATCGAATTTTTTTTTTGTTATTCATATTTTTTTGTCTTTTTTTTTACTTATATGCCACCTAAAAATTTAAATTCATCGTGTCAAACATAGTATATATATAATATTATATATATATACACCCCAGCGTGGTTGTTGACCTTTATATTTGAACGACACGAGTGTACACCGTACGCACTTACGACAATCAAAACCAAATACACACTGTACACGACCGACACGCACTTTTGCTGACAACTGAATAATAAATATATAGCAATAAAAACAAAATGCCAAAAAAAATTGTATTTAATATTTAGATTCCGAGCGTAGCAAGGGGCTATTGGTTTAACTAAGATTCTTATTTTTATTTTTTTCTTCTAGTCTGTGGACACGATTTTCCTAATAAATTTGCTCTGATTTTTACGTGTAACAACTTTTCTAAAAGCTCAAGTTATCTAAATGATACTTTTAAGAGGTCATCTTTTGACTTTTGATGACGCCATTTTTTAAATAAAAACACTTACAATTTCACGATTTAATTTTTTTGTAAAAACACGGACGACGTTTTCTACCAGAAAAAATGATTTGATCGAAAAATTCCAAGACAATTTTTTTGTTGCTTTTTTTTAATTTACTTTCTTATAGTATCATTGCCAAAACTTTTGAGCCACTTTTGAGCTTTTAAGGTATATCAATTTTTAGGAGTTTTTTTGCTGTAATTCGGTTACAAATACACGTAGAGACTTGAAACTTGGAAATAGTACTTATATTGGACTTACCTAGACGTAGTAAAGTTTCTAAATTCATCGGACGACTTTTTTTCTTTTTTTTTAATAAGCACTTTGAAATCAAATTTAAACGAAAGTCGCAAAAAAAATTACGGCTCTTCAAATTATTACTGAACTGCACTCGGAATTTTTTTTCATCAAGCAATGGTTTATCGTTGCTTACAGATATAAATAAAAAAACCTTATGTATCCTACCTTCCCGACTTCTCACCTACAACAGTGGCCGCTCCTATCCCTAGTATCAGCTCTTTTTTTATATTGACCCGACCCGTATCCATACTTGTATATATTATATAGTTTAATACTAGTATACTATATTATCGTCAGTTGTTTAAATTGAGAGGAAATCGAATATTGAAAACCTCTTTGAAAACGAAAATGTATAAAAGACTACGCTATTATTCGTTTTTCTAATATGTCACAGCCAGCATATTTGCCGTTTCTATATCGAACAACTAATTCCATATGCAAAAGTTTATATAGAATAGAAAAATTAGGCAACTTTCCAAGTTCCTACAGTACCCAAAATTATAGAAAAAAGTTAAAGTTCTTTCGTGAAATCAAAGCAAAATAAAATATATTTTATTTATTACTTATTGTCTCTGAGTATTTTTATAGAAACAATAATATAATTAACATTACAATTAACACTTCAAATATTCATTATTAAATAAGATGCAGTTTCAAGTATTTTTCTTTATAATTAGGAAAGCCTGGAAAAATACTTGCATGGAAACTGGTAAACTTACGGCGTTACAATTTCATTATTTGAAATATGTACGCTTCTATTCTATCAGAAATATTGCACCGATAAAAAACCTTACCTACCAAGAGATCTTTTTTTATTAAATTTTTAATCTAGTTGGTGGGTGAATAAAAAAGTCCAATTTAATTCTGTGTGTAGAAATTGTTTGACCAAACAGAAATGCTTGAAAATTGAACAGGAGGTTCATTATACATTTTACTCAGTGATCAAAAAAAAAAAAGTAAAGCTTTAAAGTAGTATTTTTTTTTTATATATGTATAAGATTTAATATTAAATTTTAGAGGAAATCTTAAATATTATGGCCTTTCAAAACATGTATAATTGAACTTCACTCCGAATCGTTTTTCATTAGTAATGGTTTATCGTGGATTACAGATATAAATTAAATAACTTTATGTATCCTACTTTCCTAACTTCCTACCTACAATAATGGCACACCTGCTCCCAGTATCAGCTTTTTTTTATTTATTTATTTACTTTATTTTACTTTTATCTGTAAACTATTTTTCTACCAAAAATCTTGTTCCAATGAAAAATTGCCAAAAGGCCGTTCATGTTGAATTTTTATGATGCGATAAAAATTTCGTTTTTTTTATTTTCTAGTGGGTTTTCATAATAATTAAGAAAAATCCGAAAAAAATAACGTACTTATAGGAATAAAGGAGAAATATTTACGGTGCATGGGTTTTGTCAACCCATTCTGAGATCATCTATATTTTATTTTTTTATGAAAGTGTTATCTGAAAACAAATTTCAGTAGTGTTTATACAAGTGTAAGGCAGGAGAAATTTTCGAATCTATAAAAAGTGCAGCATCAAGGTAAATATTGCTGGGCAAACATTTTCCAGACATTGTATCGGTTCGTGACACGGACTGAAACATTTAAACACTCAAAATATCAGATTTCTTTCGATTCGGTTATATTGTACTATATGAGCTGGTAGAAAGGTTTTCTCGCATTTATTGGATTTCTATACGCGTTTCAAAAATAATTATTTATTACTAGATACTTATCCAACTTGAACAGCATTGACATTTCGTTTGATATAATCGTGGCAAGAAACATTTTTCACCGTCAAAGTCGAGCGTTTCTCAGTTATTTTCCCCATTATATTATCTAATGTTAATAATATCATTTATTATTGTGTTTTTTTCGAAATACGTTCGCGCTGCGTATATTATATTGTTAATCGAATCAAATCGAGTTTACAAAAAAATGTAAAGACCCAATAATAAGGGATCATAGTAATCACAGCAATTTTGTGTTTGACGGTCTAGAAAATTTGTTGCATTTCTGTACAGCCTAATATTTTGTTGTTTTATTCTCATGCCTTTATAAACAGTGTACTGTTAGTATAGTACAGTACGGTTTTTACGATGATAAGATACAAAATATACCTGTCTTATGGTTTTATTTTGCAAATCCGGAAACAATAAAATTAATACATTTCAGAAAACAAAAAGCTGTTCAATTAATACCGTATATTATGTTCTGAAGAAAACAGTATGGCATCTATTATATTATTAGAAATTAATTTTCATTAAAATCTAGGTGCGTACCAAACGTAAAAACGTGGTTTTTTTTTTTTGTACGTACGTACGTATATTATAGGCGTCCTTGGAGGCCAATAAAAGTTTGAATTATATCTGACTGGAATCGTCAATATTTTAATCGGTGGTATTTGAAATAAAATGTTTATTCAAGTCTTGTTCCGTTTAAAATGTCCTTATCGTAAACATTATATCGTCACATTAACGCACCATTTTCAAACTTATGCAGATTTAAAACCGTGCTAATTCAAACTGTCGTTTATCAACCATGTTAGTTCAGCTTTTTATATTTTAGTGTAAGATGGCAACCATACTTAATTTCTTACCAAATAAGTATCATTTCAAAATTGGTCGATTTTTTGTCAGGTTAATTAAAGCACATCTTATTTAAAAAGTTTAACAAACGTGACGGATCGATTAAATATTTTTCAAACTTTTACTATGCGTCAGTATGTATTCCGTATGCATCCCCGTAGTTGATTTAAAATTGCATTGTACAAGATGCATTATATAGTCATACAATGAAGTGAACTTGCATTTATTATAATATTACGTAATATTATTTGCACAGCTTTTCGATGTTTTGGCATATCGTGTTACTTGGCAATAGCGTTTTTAAAATTTAAATTTAAAAATAATAAAACACGTATGCTGGTGCAAATTCCATCACATTGCTCACACTAATTGTTATTGACAGTATTGCTATAGTCGTTGGTTTTGAGCTTAAAATAAAAGTTTTTTTTATACAAATATTTTATAATTACATAAATTTCAATTTGAATTTATTTTCATTCCTATTTTTACATGAACATAAAATGACGTCCGCTTGTTGAGGCAGTTTTACTTCAAAATTTAATATCATAATTACTGTAATAATTATTTGAGCCGTGTGAGGTTATATCATGATTACAAATTTGATAGCATATGTTTTGTTTATTATTTTATCATTATATATAATTTTATTTGTATTCTGATGTTTATCATTATATTATTTGTGTTTGTATTATTTTTAGAACTGGATCGCTATCACTTTTTTCCGTTATCCGATAATTCGAAAATTATTGCCGATCATTTTTTATTACATTATATAAATATTTTGAGTTGGATTAAGTTAATGTTACTATTTAACTGTGCAATGTAATATGTCTCTGATTTCAAATAAATAAATAAATAATACCGATAACCGCTATTTTAATTTTTTGGATCCGTAAACTAATTTAAAAAAAACCTTTATGAATAAATAAAGTTGATAAATATATCCATTGTTTTATTTATATCTTTATTTACGAATATTAACCATTTTAATTTTGTTTTACTTTATTATTTTATTCTTTATAAATAATGTCACATCAAAATATTTTAGATTTCTGTAAGGATAATTGGTACCATTGATAAACGATAATACTATAATAATTAAAGCATTGGCAATTTGGCAATTTTATTTTTATAAGCCATAATCTCATATAATCATAACTTACAGCGATTATGAGTAAACACAATTGAACATTTGAACACATTTGAACTAAAACCGCCTCAGTAAGTGAACAACAGAAAGGACACTATAGTCGTCATCGGACCTTATATTCGATTACCGTATCACAGATTAATATAGTTACTATATACACATTAAAAATTTGAAATCGTGCCTATAATAGACACTAAAATTCACAAAATTCTATAGTATGTATAGGTACTTAATAACTGTACTTTGCGTCTGTCGCGTGAAAAATATAAATAATTGAAACAGGACGCACCAAGGAAAATCACATTATTATACTCGAGTATAATAATAGAAATAATACGTCGTCACTGGTTTTTTGTGTGTAATGTATTGTTACAAATATTATTGAGTTGTAAAGTTCAACCGGGTAAAACAAATTTGGTTAACATCTATGGGTACTACTGAAAAACCAAATTAAATTTTACGACTTATTTGGGGTTTTCTTTTTACAAGTAAACTATCGCTATATTCTGAATAATACTCGTGCCTATATTTTACATACATATTCTAATAAATTATAGGTTTTTGTTTAAAATTAGTGACCATACTAAATAAAGTAATTTATGTAAGACTGAACTAGACCAAAGTTAATTTTTTTTTTTTAAACCACCTAAAAAATTTAAAATCATGTAGTTCTTATATTATAAAAAGAGTCTATGTAAAAAATAACATTTTAAACTGCAAATTGATGCATATAATATTTATAAGTATTAATGCGCAGTTCGTTTGTGTTGATATCCGTTTTCGGTTAGTGTATAGCACTGGAAAAAATGTCATTGGTTGTTTTAACAATATTACATTTTCGACAGTTAATAATATTAAAATTATCATCTGGATAATAGCTTGTGCATATAACAAGATTTTTTTATAGTAGCAACATAATATCAATATAACAATGACAATTTTTGGTGCTAAGTAAATTAACAATATTATCGTTGAAACAATACTTAATTTATCTAAGTTTAATAATCAGTGTTTATTGATACGACAATTTAAATTGTCAGTGTAATAGTCAATTGTGAAATCAGCAATAATATATTATGAAATTGAAAAAAATATTATCCAAATAACAATATTGTTAAAAACTTATAACCACAATAGACCCAAACATTATGACCAAACCGAGATGTAGAAATAGAAATTGGACTGAACCGGACTGGTCCGGACATTTATGATTTCTGAAAAAATAAAAGACAATAATACCGGACCGTGCGTTACACTACCTGCCAAACAAAATATGTACGAATTGATTCCCTATGAAAATTACTTCTCGTACCATTGTCGAATTATAGTAAACATGTTAATTAATCGCAATAAGTTTTAAATGATATAACTCGTCAAACCGAACTTTGCCGTTTTGTTTAGCTTTTCGGTCTAAATTATGCCGTTTTTTTTTTTACAACGACGCCAGTAGCCTTTCTAGACAGCCCTAGATGTGTATAAAATAAAAAGGCTGTCGGTTTGTAATTCGGTTTTATTATTAAAAAATAAATGACAGCTGTTCATCGGAACCATTACATGTGTCACCAAATGTAGACCACCCGCGAACCGGTCGGTAATTGGGAATCAACTCGTAGACGTCCCCGTGACATACGGATTCGAGCCGTGATTCGCCGATACCCAATTAGCCGACTGCACGTTCCACTAACGCATAAACCGGTATCCGACAATAACGGAAAAGTTTTCGATTCGCCGACTGATCGAAATTTTACAAAAGGCGAAATGCAAAAACAATTTTTATGCGGAAGTCTAGAATGTTATACGGTCTACAAACGAAGTGTACCTACGCTATAATGTTATTGTAAGTTTATGATGATCAGTTCGTTATTTAATAATATTAATTTTAAAATGTCGTGGTTTATAATAAATTCGAAGGGTAATGGCCAACCATTAGGTTTGGGCGATTTTATACATACAATTGATAGAAGAAGACGTCCTACCAACTATTATATAAATGCATTGTTAATCTGCAGAGGTCGAGCAATACTCAGAGAAAAATCAAAGTAAAATAATCTATACTGTTAAAAATGAGGATTAATGAGATTAATTATTATATTGATGGTTGACTTGAATATCGTTCATGGTTTTTACAAAAAATTTAAAACAATAAAAAAAAATTACTATAATAAATAATAATTGTTTTATAGATGTTGTTGAACTATAATATAATGTGTCGGCAAAATTGCGAATCGGTATGACATGAACGTACGGATATGACGAAATTATAATGGCTCAAATTGGTTGTTGTTGTTATTTTTTTGTTTATTTTGCCATTTTGGATATACGAAACCCTAATAAAAACGAAAACCATCGACAAAACGTCGGTCTCGTCCCGTATGAGACGTTTGCCGGGACAACAGCCGGAAATAAAGGACGCCACTGCGCGTGAATCGTGTACGCACATTAACCGGACGCGCGGTATATGCGGTCAGGTAACCCCGTGTAACCTGCTGGGCTTACATACATACACTAAAATACGACGATGTATATAGGATGTACAAAGTAAAATGTTAATTGGATTTTCGTTAATTTTCTATAGTGTTTTTGTTATTTATGACAACGTATATACATATACAGTACGAACCTATACATTATATACATTGTTATAAAAATATTATTATTGTATAAGGTTCTATACTTTTTCTCTCTCTCTCACTCTCATTTTTTTTTTTTCAAACATAATATTTTTGATTGCCTCGTTCGTATAATATAATATTATAATCGCGTATACTCGATATTTTAATCTTGGCAGAATACCTCTACTCGTATTATTATTTTACGCGCGATAGACAGATTAATAATACTATCGCATAATTGATTAACTGCACATTGGACACTCACTCGACGCGGAGATTTAAAAGCACGTCATGGGGTAATACGGCTATATATAAAAAAAAAACGCGATATTTTCGAAAAAGTCAACCACGTCATCAATAATAAAAGTTTTCCGTTGTTTAAAAAAAAAAATACAAAAATTTAGAATCTCCGATAATAGCGTGCAATTAATAATATTGTATCTATGAAAAGAAACGTCAGAAACTTACGAATATTTTTCTCCAGACTAAAGTGGTTTTTTTTTCTTATTTAAACCGCATGATTATTATTCTTCCGTTCGGTCTTTTTTTTCATTTTTTAATACTGTGCTGCAGTGACAATAATTATAATAAGATTCTGAGCGCAACGAGAAATGTATTGTTTCTACGATAGTGTATGTTCCTTTTTTTTTCTGCCTGTAAATTACTTTTATACAAAAAATCTTATTATAATCAAAAAATGACATGAGAGCATTTTCGTAGTATTTTGGATCTAGTTGATTTGTTGAAAAGGTTATACATTTTGATTTTCTTTGCATTTTTCTTATAACTAAAAAAAGCCGAGAAAGTTTATGAAAAAATCTGTTTCATAATTCGGTTAAAAATAATGGTTGAAACCTGAAATTTTTACAAAATACGTGTATTTGATTTTTCTAAACGTGGTTAAATTATCATACCATTCTCGCAATTTTTGAGCAACTAAAAGATAATTGATATGTTTTTATTGAGATTTATATAGATAAAATTGTTTTAGTAGAACGGAAATGCTTGACAATTTTACACGAGGATCACGATAGTAAAGATGCCATGCATGTGATAAATGTCTATCTTGCAATAAAAGCTCACGAGAACAATCATTTTTGTATCTTGAAGGAAAAGGACTAACTAATGTAGAAATTGGATAGACAATAAAAATCGAAGTTACACGTGGAAACTTCAACCCACTATAAAGAACTTATTAATACCGTAAGAAATTTAAACGATGAAATTATCGTTAAAAACACAAACTTGACGAATGATATTCACTCAACTCAGATAAAAAAACAATAAAATGTGTGTCAATAAACAAATAATGAATTTATAAATAAATTGTTAATCGAGTTGAAGAATACAACAAATGACATAAGAGGAAATGTACAATTGCCGAACAAACCGATCAAAACCATGCCGTAAATAAACGATTTTTAAAAATACAATACATTTATACGCATATCGAAAACACAAATTTCAGATTGCCGTTAGGAAAATACAAACACCAATCGGTAAAGAAAAACAATGTATTGATGACGTTAGACGGATACAAACGCTTAAATCCATAACAATAAAACGAAAAAAAAACGCTATATCATTGAAAAATAAATTCGAAGAAGCGACTTCACGAATACAAAATTTAACCCGTGAAAATGATAATATTTACTAGTTTACCTAGGTACATAAATTTATAGAGATTTTTAATTTTTCGTGTTTCAGACAAAACGATTTTTTTGGACGATCGAGTAAAATAGTTAAAGCGTGAAAGGTTCTTCCCTATCGGGTCTTTTAGCAGTCTTAACAAATGTGCCTTCGTTCCTTCAAGCTTTCGACCAGCCCACATTAATCTTCTTCTCGTAATTTCTGCAATAATGTCTAATTTTTGAAACAAGTTCTCATTCCTCATCGTGACGTACCCTCCATTCCCAGTGTCAGAGTGGACATATGGCCCATAAATTCTTCTTAAATTTTTTCGCTTAAACACTGCAAGTCTTGTTTCTACCACCTTTCTCAGAGTTCATGCCTCAGAACTATATAATATTATTGCTCGTATCAGAGTTATGTATAATTTAATTTTTAGTTTTTTTGATAACATTTTTGAGCTAAACATGTTTCCCAGGCCAAAATAACACCTATTACACATTTGTATTCTAGTGTCCATTCAATTAAGTTCATCAATAAAAAATTACAATATAATATGGTTTATAAAACAACGCTGACAAAAATTATAACTGCTACGAAATTGTACTTTTTGTTAATTTAAAATTTGAACATTCTCATAATAAGAATAACTCTCAGAATAATAACAGGCCTGTGGCGAGGAAAATATGACTCGAGTGAAGGGGCTCCGCATCTCATGGGTATTTTTTTTAAGTATGAAATAACATATAAATTATTTAATTACTCCGGTATCCAAATCGTAATCGCGTAAAGTTTATAACTAGTAATCGATAAATAAACGAAAATATATGTTATTATCTAATTAACTTTCATTTTAATTTTTAATTTCATAACAGTGTAACTATTTTAGTTGTAATACAAAAAAGAGCTTTTATTTCGTAAAATCTGAAAAAAAAAATAGCACAATGCAAAATATCATATAATTTTACAAGATTCTCGTAAAATTTGTATTTTTGAGTGTCATTTCAAAACTATTACACACCTATTTTTCCTGCAGTTTACAAGCTTTCACTTAAAATTTCCAATTTTCGCAAGCCATCCGTTCAGTTTTATATTCACGTAGAAACAAGAATACTCAATCTTTCCACGTACTATGTACATTTTTTATTTCGTTGAGCACACCATTTCAATAAAAACTTTTAAAAAATATAGTTTTTTTTTTTTCTAATAAAGTATACCATCTGTCGAAAAAACCGTACCTTTTAAGGTACAATTCCAATAATTTGCAACATTTTTTTAAAGAAAACGACAAAAAAAACCCTATAGGGTTTGAACTGTAAAGGGTTTTCCAAAAAACATAAAAATTAAATTAGGAACTCAAAAAATTCTTCTAATAAAGTACCATTGAGTACATACCACTGCACAAACAATACGCACCTTTTAAATAGGTATATATAAGGTAATTTAGTTTATACACAATGATAAACCATTTCAAACGAAAAACTGATTCTGAGCGGAGGAGTATTATTAACGTTTTTTCCTTTGTGATCAAGATAACCCAGAAATTAATAAACAAAAAAAAAGTATTTAGGAGGTGAACTTCCTTTAGCTAATTATGTTTGTAACTAAATTAATCAATATTATTCTTTATATATATTATGTACACATAATATCTTCTCATCCTTCCACCTACAACAGTGGAATATCTACGGATGAAGTATGTTAAGCTTTTTTTGTGTAACGTATTTTTTTATTTGTTTGGCCGAATATTATATAATTATTACAATATTTTAGATTTTGTTAAATTAGCATTTAACAATGTAATATGTAATTATGCAGTTGTATAAATAATATAATTAACGAAAATTCAAAATTGAAAAAAACATAATAATATATATTACTACGAAAATATTCGATCTTTCTATGCGATATTTATCACTTAATACATTACACTTCTATATAATATTATTAGGTGCTTTGGACCTGTTCTCTGCTCTGATAAATTATGTATTGTATCTATTACAAGGTGATTTTTTTCGATATAGCCTTTTTGTGTGACTAAAAATCCACGGAAGGTATTTTAGACTTTTTTTTTTGGAATTCTCGGTTTGATGTTTGTAAAAAAAACATGCACCTGTAGTGAAAAGAAATTTAAGCCGCAATATTGGTGTCGAAATTTGTATTCTGAACCTTTGCGCTCTTGGAATCGTTTATACTGCGAATGCAATGATTTATTATCGTCGCGTTTTTCGCTTATTCGAAAAAAAAAATAAAAAATTACACCTAGTCGCAGTGTCGCGCACCTTCATCATAATCGACTATTTTCATTGTTGTAATAATATATCATATTGATGCCCCTCATCGAATACACACATTGTCGGATTGAAGAGTCTTCAGATTTATTTTCCTTTTTTACGCAACTCCGCCTTGTCCGTTTTTTTTTATCCTTTATCGACGATTATTAAAAAAAAAAGAATGTTTTTTTTTTTTTTTTTTGAAGTGTTCTATAGTTCATATAACATGTAATAATATAATATGCAAAAGTTAAAAATCAATGACAATATAATATTAAAATTGCACTACGTGAGCATAGTCGATGACTGCAGTATTCGCGCGTATTATAAATAAATAATGAAGCGACAAGAGAAAAAAATGACAAACCGCAAACAGAAAAAAATAGAAAATAAAATACTCGGATAAGTAGGTTATTGTTCATTTTTGTAATAATTTCAAAATAACGCAATGAAAAAATCGATTGGTATCATCTTATAGACTATCGTTATTATTATACCAAACAACGAGATCATAATACAAATACCTATATTCAAAACTATACAAAACAACTATATAGCCGACTGTCTAGAAGACTTTATAAAAATCATTGAAATGTATTATTTTGTTTGTACCATGAATTATGGGATAAATAGGTATATATATATGTGGGACGATTTCGAATATTTTTCACATTACTTCATGTCGTCGTCATCATACAAAAAACTTGCAAGTTTGACTTTATAGGTTAACTACAATTTAATCCACATAATCATATGAGACATTGATATTTGGTCAAAATACCCGGGAACTCTGTGTATCTTTGTATTTTAAACTTCCAGTCGGTCGGTTTTTTCTACATATAAAGTAAGAGTAATGTAGTTTGCAGGAAATATTTGTCAGTATGCCTAGTACTCTAATTGCACTTGGACACTTTTTGTATGAGAACAACCGGTATAGTAAGCAAACCAATCACGGCGTAAACAAAATGTTTCGTGGGTTAATAATAAACATTTTCCCTCTTGCCAATATCTGCCGATCTTCAGATTTACTCATAAGATGAGTCGGAGATCTAGTAGTTTTTTTAAATGTCTATAATTAAATTACAGAATTATAGTCTTGTTCGACTGAGATTATGATTCTTTTTTTTTTACATATATGTAATATCGACTAACGATTATTTGTCCCTTTTCGAGTATATTATTCTATAGTCATTTCACGACGTGTGCGTTTTGCATAAGGTTAAAATTGAATATCGAAAATATTTAAATCCGTGATCGTCATACTGTCGTGGACGTATTATAACATCTCAGCCATCGATACTTTTTTTCGAACACCATCGATAATGTCCGTTTAAAGCGAAATAACTATTATTTTGTTCGTCGTCGGAATGATAATTTTCGATTGGCAAAACGGATTAAAACCATTTCTACGGTCAAAATATGTATTATATTGCCGAATGCACAAAACGGTATTGACGCAAACGATTTTCATTTATTGTCAGTAAACCCGCACGGTAATGGCGTCGCCCGTGACAATGGAATTAATATAAATTTAATATCCACAGCGTCTTGTGGTATTGAAACGCTTTCTTCACATAATAAATTTGTATTAAATTCGTTATTTTGTTATTTGTATTCTATCGGCTATCTCTATTCGTACATTTGCATACGTCACCGTAATCACACTAAAATTTAAACAAGTTTTAAATTTTGAGCACAGGAAGGAATATATTGGTTCTACTATAGGGTGACCTATTTTTTGTCTATTTGTAAAAAACTTTTCAAACAACAACCTTGCTTCAATCGAAAAAATTCCAAGAGAGTTTTTTTGTATTTCAAATTAAGTTTTTCTTGATTTTTATCATTTTTCTTGATTTCCTTATAGTTTTACAAAGTAATTGGGGAAAATGAGAAAGTTTACGGCAAAACCGGTTTCAGTGTTTTCTATTTAGTCTTTTGTTGTAATTTGGTTGAAGTAATTGTAAAGATCTGAAATTTTCACCGAATTATATATTAAATATTAAGTATTTCTAAACGTTTGACATTTTTTAATTTGTTTAGTTTTTATTTGATTTGATGGGGATAAAATTACATAATGAACTAACATCGTATATTACTTAACTTCACTAATAATCGCAATTCATTAGCATTTGTTTATCGTTGAGTATAAATTAAATAGCTCCATATTTTATATCCTAGTTTCATAACTTCCCACCTACAGTAACAGTCATACACTCATCAGCCAATATCATTCAAAATACCAAACAAAATTTCATCCCCCTAACTTCATTAATATGGATGTTCAAAATTGAAAAAAAAACGGCTTTTTTGAAACAGCATGCTGAAATTCGTATAATAAACGCTCAAAAATATAGCTAATAATCACACACTCAGGCGACGAGTCATGACGTAACTGATATCTAAAACAAAGCTTTATACAGCGCATACCACTCTGTGTGCCCATGTAGGTTGTCCGTACAGAAATTATTTTTTTTTCGCATAGTGATTATAGCTGCTAAGTACGTCAAGCATCAACATTACTCTGACTCAGTAGAGCTCAGTTAATATTGATTTTAGAGTAAAAACGCCTACAATGTAAAATGAAAATAGGACAAAAATTTGGATTGTAAAATTTTTTTATTTAATCCAACAAAACAAATTACAAATCCGATTAACCTCTCTCCTTTAAGCTTGAAAGCTTGTGTTGGAGATAAAAAGTTATTATAGTTAAAAAATATTAAATAGTATACTTAATATGGCGTAATATATTAATATAACATAATAAAATAATAAGAAAACGAGATAATATAAACAATCTAAACAATATAATTATAAAAAAATTAAAAATGTAAATGTATAAATGCATAATATAATATAGACTTAATATAACAAAACATTTAAAAATACATAAACAAAGAATAACCGAACAGACTTTACATACACAAAGCGTTTTTCTCCGATTCCAAAAATAAATATTTGTATACAACATATTTAATATTTATAGTATCACCCATTATTGTATTTTTTTCAAATTCATATGATATAGAATTAAAAATTGTTTGTCCCATATAGTCTACTGTAGACTAACCAAAACTGAAGACTGAAAAGATTTATTGGTTTATTTAACAGGAAAGTCATAATTTTTTAAAATTCTCTTTTATTGTCTAAGTTATTGCAGTGTTTATCTAATTTAACATGTTTCAATAAATTCATTATTACTATTTTTTTGTGTAAGTACCTTACTGGTAAAATACCAAATTCCATGTAGTTTTCATTCGTAAGTCCTATAATATAACATTTATTTAGACAGATTCTGCTAATATTATTTTGGTTAATTACTAGTGCATTTAGTATGTTATCGCGAAGGCCACCCCATACTTATATACCATATTGGAAATTAGACTGATACGGTGCATAGTAAATTATTCTTAATGTATGTTTTGACACCTTAAGTTAAGTTTAACTTTTATTAACTTGTAAATTATGAAAAGAAACTTACCTAATAAGTTATTAACATGTAAATTCTATCTCAAGTTAATATCGAATATTACATCTAAGTATTGAAGTCTTTCTAATTTTTTAATAATTTTACAGTTTCGTGAATTACAGATTTTGTTTATGTCACAGCCATAAATTGAAATATGATTATAATTAACGACATATTTGTTAATTAAGAACGGTATGAATACGGCTTTTTTACATTTAGAATTAGATTTATATCATTTAAACTATTATTGATCCGATTAAAACCTCTATAAGCTTTTTCAAACACACCATCCCAAGTCCTATGAGAAAAAATCAGACAAGTATTATTAGCATATATGACTATAGATCCATACATTTTGACTTCACAGATGTCATTTATATATACGAAAATAAAAAAAAATAAATATAATAAAAAGAATTGGACACAAAACACTACCTTATGGAACACCATATTTAATTACACACGTGTTGCCATTTACTTCGTTTATTTTTACTATTTGTTTCCTATTATGTAAGTAACTTTTAAACCAATTTAAGCTTGAACATTTTATTCTAAGGCTAGGCAGTATGTTCAATAGAATATCATGGTTAACTGTGTCGAAAGCCTTAGCTAAGTCTAAAAATATTGCCATCGTTTTGTTATTTTTATCTAAATTACTATAAAGATACTGAGAGACTTTATATAGAGCATTATCCGTGCTTAAGCCCGGTCTAAAACCGTATAGATTTTTTAATAGCAAACTATTTTTTTCTAGAAAATCAATAAGTCTAGTTTTAATAGATTTTCAAATATTTTTGAAAAGTTACTTAGCATGGATATCGGTCAATAATTATTCATAGATACTTTATCTCCGCTTTTAAATAAATATTTAACAACAGCCAATTTTAGGATATCAGGAAAAATGCTTTGCTCAATACTTAAATTTTATATGTAAACCAGAGGATTCACTATAGATTTACCACCATAGTTTTTAGAATGTTGACTAATACTCTATCCAAACTCGCTGCAGAATCTTCTTTGAAGTTGTTAACCAACTCCAGTATAACTGACTGCTCAATTTCTTAAAAAAAAAATATTATTAAATGAAATATTATTATGTTCATAGTTCATTTTCAAATGAATTGGCTTTTTAGATAAACTAGTAGCAATACTTATAAAAAAAATATTAAACATATTGGAAGCTTCTATTGGATCTTTTTCTGGCATTTATTTCATTTTTATATGTTTAAGTTTAATTATTTCATCTTTTGATCTACATTTCTCACTGATAACTTCGTTTATTAGTTTTTGAGTTAATTTCGGGTTAGAGCTTACATTTTCGAATTTTTGTTCATACAATTTTATCTTTGCTAGCCTTACGGTTTTCGTAAAGTTATTTTTGTATTTTTTGTAATGTGAAACTAACCACAGATTGTGAGGATGTTTTTATATTTCCAAATGAAAATAACTATTACATATAAAGCATTTCAGCTCATCATCCTCTTAAATATCATCGTTACATGTATTGCACAACATTACAGTAGGTAGGTAAATAATTGGATTATGAAATTATAAAAGAAGGTAAGCAACGCACTGATTACACTATGCACGCACGTCTACAGAGAACGACGGTACTGTGCGAACTGTAAGATTTTATATCTAAGATAATACGTATTTAAAAAGAAAAATTGTTTTGAAAAGTTATCTTTATTTTAAAACGTTTAAATAGTCGTTATTTAAAAACCATGTATTGCAGAACTTTTTATATTTCGTAATACAGAAAAACGCGGTGTGTATACTGTTTTCGGTTATACAACGGCCGTAAAGAACGAATTATTACTGAGTATAATTTGGGTCCTCGGCCGATTTCTGGTCGAGTTTGTAGTTAGTATAGGCGGTCCACTTTGAAAACGGTGAGTTTACTTATGGTATAGAGAGAATAACGAAAACTGTATTAAGAAAGGCATCTATACGATATAATTATTGTTATTGTTGGAACCACTCATCATTTATAATACCACCTTACGTACCGAAAACCTGAACAAATTATCGAACATGCCGTTAAACCTGGTGTTCCCTTCCGAGTACTGAAGTGGTGGAGAATTAGCCTTACCTTTATAATATATGTGTGTAGAAATGTCGGTAACCTCAACAATTCGCGTAACTAAGGTATACTTTACTATACAAGTTTACCATACCTACCATTAACAATAATAATGTTCGACGCTAAGATAAGAAAATATAACAATGGAAATTAATATCCACTGCAAAATATAATGTCAATATCGTATTGACATTTATTTATAATATACTATCAACAACACATCTCTAACATTTCAGTAATATTGTTCAGTGACATATAAAATATTATTTACCTGTAACAATCCACAAATATCGCATTAACAGTAAATTGTAATGTTTTTATGAAACTCAAATACAATATTACAGCGATGTTATGTAACTTACATTGTACAGTGTGTTATTTTACCACTCATGCAGATACAAAATAAAATTATTCGTATGTATGTAAATTTGTGAAAACAATGAGTTAAATAGTGAGAGATAAAAGACGGGTTGTTAAGAAGGGTTGAAAGAGAAATGAATGAATATACTAATTTTCTACCATCTGAAGACCAACTTTCTGAAGACCTTTGACATATTCTTTACTTGTACACAAAAAAAAATATATTTATACAAGAAAACGTTTGTAAAATCGAATTAATTAATTTTAAATTCAGTAAACAGATATTATAAATTACTATATATGTTCAATTAAAATTATCTATTTTTCATGTTATTATTTTTTTACAGTTAATTAAGAATATATTGTAATTTTTTTTCGACCAATAAAAAATATTTTCTAAGAAAGTTCCTGCAGGTGATGATATTTCAACATTATGTACATTTTTACGTTTTGCCGCTCATAACTTTGAACGTATTGACTTTCTTCTTATCAACAATAATAATTCTGATAGTTTATCTTAAATCATTTGTTTGTATTCAGTAATAAAATAAACCGAAAAAAAAATACATGCAAATTGCGTTATTTACCTCAAATCACACCTCGCAATCTGGGTTTTGTTTTCCTTGATTCTACGGTGTCTGTGTACAAATATCTATACAAATAAACTATGGAGATACGGTCACGAAAAAAAAAAAGTCGGACCACTCTAGTGTCCATTTTAGGGAAAAGTTCGGCAAAAATAAACACTGCCCATAATATACTGCACAAGACGTATTATATTCTATGAAATCGTTGTTTTTCCATGACGTGGGTCCGGGCTAATCGGTGCACCGGTCGCGTATAGTATAATATTATTATTATGTATAGGCACTGCGGCTTTCTAACGCGAATAACGATAAATGATCTCTCTCGTTCTCCCGCAGTCGCTCTATTTATTATTATTATTATACCTATGTATCGATGATTGATATC